CTCATGATTCTGTAAAGAGGGAAAATTGATGATATTGATCCAAACAAAGTCAAAATGCTCAATAAGCAAAAAGTGAGTTTTAAAAATCTGTCAAAATACTATTATTTTTATTAGAAACATCAAAATGTTTTTGTTAAATCCCTATGACTTTCAGCCCTTCTCTTGGTTTCCTGAAGCCCAAATTTCAGCATTTGAAAGGCTGGCAGTAATGCCAGATCCTCAGAGATGCTGGGCCCACTGTAAGAACTGAATGCCACCGCCCTCCAACAAAACCCACCCAAGCCAATGAAGGAAGTGCATGAACTCAGCAGCTTCTGCGTTTGCTCCCTCTACTCCACTGTTAGTGACAGTTCTCCTGTCTCCTTCCTTGCCGTCCTGGTTTAACATAAGACCAGAGCTGAGTAGGTGATTGACTGATGGGGTCTGCGTATTTCAGAGGACTTTTGGGGAGCGTGTGCTCCCACTGAAGTCTGCAGTACCTGGGGTGCTTTAGACCAAAACGCAAAACCGTCTGGTAGCACGTGAGAGAGACCGGCTGGGTCTCAGCCCTGTTGCTGAGACGGGGCACGGTTACGTTACTGAGATCATAACTAGCTTGGCACTGGCTGGCGTCACCACAGAGCAGGGTGTAGCTGAGTGCCCTGGCAAAAGCCGAAGGATAGGATATATTCTGTGGTGGTTTTACGCCGGGTTTTGAAGGAGGAGGGTGGTAAACACATAACATGGTGGCTCCCGCAAAGCCTGCTCTGAGGGCAATGTGTTCCTTTGAGACATAATCGATTCCTGCCATCAGGCACCAGCCTGCTCTCCCCCAGGGTCAGCGCTTTCCCACATCCAACCCCATTATCCCACAGACCATGCCTTTTGTACAACACACTCCAGCTATTCATGTGCAAAGCAGCTGTAATCCCCAGACCTTTCAGAGTCAATATACCAGGAAATAATAAATCCCTCTTGTGCACTCTTGAATATGCTGAGAGGTGACTTGTGGGAATTTCAGCTGGGCAGAAAAATAATAAATTCTCCTTAATTTTTAATTATTTGGAATACTCACTGTATGTCATTGGCGCATGACTATTTCAGGGTCACTCACAGAAGCAGCTACAGAAATTGCTTTTGCCTATAACAACCCTGAAAATGCAGATCAAATTGTCTCATATGTTTCTTAATGATCAAAGTCCACTTTCATTCACTTATGCACCTGGGAATGGCAGTATATTAAACATTCTGGATCTAGAGAAAAACTAATTAAAAAAGGTTAAACCTGTGAAGAATGTACTTTACGGTATAAAAGACCCCTTTCTGGCAGGGTTCTAATGTCTAAAGGAGGCAAGATAATGCCATGCTAATGACATTTAATGGAATATTTTACACAATAGGTCTAATAACAACATAACCTTTTCCCCTAAAAGAGGCAGATTTCACTACGCTTCCACTCCATTCGTTCAGACAGCAGAATTATGCTTGGCTTGCGAGAGCAGAAGCTGCCAATCCCAAACAACAACTTTGGCAGGACAATTTCTTTATATATCGCCTCCCATGCCAAACCGTCTTTTAAACTATTTACTGTGTAGAATGTCGTATCACTGGAACGCCCTGAGCAGAACACAGTAGGCAGGGTTAGGTGCACCTTGGGGGGCTGGGAGAAGGGATCTTCACCTGGGACACCAAAGGAAGCAGTGGCTCATCAGTTAAAAACAAAGGGTCATTAGGGTTCCTCTCAAGCAGGCAGTACCCTGTCTTTTCAAACCTCATCCAAGAAACCTCCACAGACCGAGTCATAAGAGTACAGGGATGATGAAGGGGTGTGGCAATACTGCAGGGATTTGTGGTGCAAAAATCCAGGAATCGTAAACATTAGGACACGTCCACGCAGGAATAGTAAGGTGTGAGTGTGGCACAACATACAGACCCAATAGTTTAATCAAGCATTCAAAGATACTAATTTCCATGCAGATGTGTCAGCACAGGTCTACTTGAGACCCTGGTAGATCTTCTCACTGCTGCTGTCCTCCTCAGTGATACGGCCACTAGCACATTACCCGTGAAAGTGAGAGCAGAGCCAGCTTGGTCCTAAAAAGCCTGCCATTTTAGCCGTGTAAATAAGCCTTTCCAGCATTGCTAACCACGGGCTGGCCCGAGGAAGAGACAAAAGCCCGCTGGAGATGAGACTGCACACAGGACAGATCCTGCAAGGCCCTGCTCTCCAGGCAGCTGTGATGACAAAGGGGTGTCCCAGGGAAGAAGTATCTGCCAAGCTCCCAACAGACGGGGAGAAAATAAACTCCTCTGCAAGACAGCGAGAAGAGGCCACCCTTAGCCCTTCCACTGCCGAGGGGCACTGTCCCCAGAGATGCTCCTTCTCCACTTTGTTCTCGCAGGTGTTCAGCAGTACCCCCAAGTGGTGCCAGAAAAGCACGAGGGCCACTTCAGCCCTGCCCTCACCTCCCACCACACACACAGGCTCAGCTCCTGATTCCAAGAGGGCTCTGGGGAAGAGTTTAGCAGCACCACTCCCATTTCCCAGAAGAGCAAACTGAGGCACGGTGAAGCAAACCAGCAGCCCCCGGCACAGCCAGTGCTGCAGCTGAGCTCGGTGCTCCTGCTGGCCACCCCTGTGTGTGAACCAGCGTCTCTGCCCCCTTGCCCCTTGTTGCCCCTTTCTTCTGGTAAACACAGATCTCCGAGAAACCCCTGCCTGCATGGCGAAATGGTGCCTTTCAGCCTTACTGGGTGAAAAAGCCATGCGAGTTCATCCTGCCTTGACAGAAGCGCAGGCTCCACAAAGGAGTTATTAGCACCAGGCTGTGTGGGTTTGAATTTCTCTGCGTTTCCCATACTTTTCCCCTATTGATAACATTTCTTGTTGGGACAATAGAAGTGTGCCTTGCGACTACTCACAACATTAGTGACGGTGCTTGAGCCTGAATGATTTAAAGGGAAAGAATCCAACTCCCAAAAGACCATCTGGCTATCAGTTATAATACAGCAATAAAGGTCAGGGCTGCTTCTCAGGAGTTGGGAAAAAGATGTGTTTTGACACTGAAGAGTCTTTCCGACCAGCTTGGTACATGCCTACCTGTCAGCTCGTAGCTTCAAGGCCTGCCACCATCGTTCCCTTGCTAGGAAAGGGATAACACAGGACGCCAGCCAAAGAATACAGGAAAAAGGGCAACACCTTATTACAGCTGGCAAAAGCTAGGGCATGGTCTCTGAGCCGTATCGTATATTGTATCATAATCCTTTGAGGGCTTCAAAGTGTTCATGAGATGTCTTGTCTCCTGGCTTTCCCACAACGCAGGGAATAAAGGCCTCCAAGAACAACATCTGCCCTTCACAAAGATCTAAGCCCATTCAGGCCCATACAATGAAAGCCACGAAGCTGGCTATTTCGGTGACACCTCCCTCCTTCCTGTCAACTGCCCATTAGACTCAGGCTTCACTTCAGGATTTCCAAGTAAGAAATTGTCTTCGGCTTTCTTACCTCACTGCACACCTCCCTCCACCGTTTCCATTTCCAGATTCTCAGCCACGCTCCCGCACACAAGCGGTGCGCTGGGAGAAGACAAGCACACCTCTGCCTCGGGCACTACAGGCTAGACCCTCAGATGGCAGGATGCAGCACAGCTTTTCTCAGGTAGGTTCTGGGTTATTTTCAGTGCTGCCTCAAGGACTGTATCCAGGCAGAGATTTTTCTCATGAAACAAAATCAGAATTAACCTAAAGCGTCCACACAACTTCACTCTTTTTCTTGACTTTACCACAAAATAAATAATATTTGCTTCATTTTTATCGACATTTTCATGCAAACACAGGCAAGCAGCACTATCCCCATTCTCCAGGTAAGAAAACGGAGTGGGGATGGCATGCTAAAGGTTACACAGGGAGGCAACGTGTAACGTAGAACGTGGTCTCTGAGATCTCATCTTCTGCAAACTGCAGCAGGTCCAGTCTGGAGTGGGGCAGTGTGATGCTCCTTGGTCAGATGAGAACGGAGTGCACGAGAAGCCTCAGGCAAGAAGCAGAACTGACCTCCTTGCTGAGGTCCAAAGACGGGCCTCAGCTACTAAATCCCATTCACGACCTGCCTCTGGCTTCCCAAAGTCTAGGGCTTCTGGGTTGAATCTGATGCTATTCTTTAGCCCATCTTAACCATCATTTTTGTAAATGTGTGTATGAAAAAGAGTAGAAAAGGGAAAAGAAAGAGCTACAGGGTGACTAGGCATGGGCTCAGTTTTCCTAGGAGGTGTGTGGCTGTCCTTAATGAAGGCAACGGGAACACTGGTGCAACGGGCTCACAGACCTCTGTGTGTGAAGAGAGAGAGGTTACCATTTCCAATTGCTTCCCCTTCCCTATTTATTCACCCAGTCCATCCAACATCCCACCATCCTGCCTGCAGATTCTCCATGGCATTTAGACACATCATGGAAACCTGTCGTTTCACACTGGTAACACTTTGGCTCACCCATTAAGAGTGTCATGACTGTACCGACAAGCACAAATCCACCCACACTCTGGCAAATGGCACCTGGGAGGCTGGCTGTAAAGTGCCCTCTCTAGAAAGAGCAGAGAGATGTCCTTGGTGCTGTTGATTCTGACCTTAACAGTGCTCCCCTTCTTCTTCTTTTCCTGCCTTCCCCCCAAAAGTGTGCCTCCTCCACGCCACAAATGTGACTGGCACATGTAGGGACTGAGGAATGCAATTGATCCCAGACAACCAGCTGGAGGGTCAGTGTTTTCCCAGATCCCCGGGCAGCCCTGAAGAGCCACACTGCACACTCCACCAGCCAGCGTGGGCAGAAGGTTATTCTCTCCAGGGCATTTGCGATCAATGTACCATGCACTAATAGATGCTCCCTCTATTGTTCAGCTGTGTGCCTGGATTGGCTGAACGGCTGTGGGAAACTCCGGCAATCCCCAGACTCACATATCTGCCGAAGCTCCCCGACGTATAAATAGAGGCAGTCGGTAGCTGCCAAAGCACAGCCTTACGCTCCGCACAGCAGCCCGGCGTGGGGGTCTGTGCCCAGGACTGAGAGCACTAAGAATGGCTCCCAGTAACACACTTATGATCCACATGGAAGACAAACTGCTGCCAAAAGAAAAGAATAAAGTAAGTAGAGCCCTTGACAGGATTGGAAAGGCTGGTCTGTGCTCAATGCAATGGGCTGCCTCTATCAAATAAGTACGACATGGGAAAAGATGAGATAAGGAGGGAGAAAGTGGTCTGGGGGAAGGAAAATGGGTTCAAGAGAGATAAACAAGACTATATAGATTTTTAAAAACAGAACTGAGCAAGGAACAGATAGGCAGCGTTGCAAAGCTCTCCCACCAAAAGCAAGCATCTTTGAACATGTGTGTATCAGGGCATCAGAAGGGAAAATGAGGTCAGGTCTCAGAAAATCCTTGACGATCTGCTCCATCTCTCTTACAGCTGAGGAAGCCGGTGGTGGAGAAAATGCGCCGTGACCGGATCAACAGCAGCATCGAGCAGCTGAAACTGCTCCTGGAGAAGGAGTTTCAGAGACACCAGCCCAACTCTAAGCTGGAGAAAGCCGACATCCTGGAAGTGGCTGTCAGCTACCTGAAGCAGCAGAGCCAGCAGGACCAAAGTGAGTGCAGAGCACGTATTGCACACACCTGCGCTCTGCTCCCCCGGGCCTTTGCCCTCCCGTATGGCCCTGGCCCTCGAAGCGTGCAGGGGCTATAATACACCAGGTCTAGGCACATGAGCAAGGCTCGTGGACTCAGGCTTTTCAAAAAAACTGAATGCATGAAGCACCACTGCCCTGTGTTTTGGTCATGATCTTAACCCACTGCATTTGCTTCTTTCTTTCTTTCTCTCCTAGCATTCCTTCACAAGAATCGAGAGCAGGACTTTAACAGTGGATACCTGCGGTGCCTGAAGGAAGCTATGCATTTTCTGTCCTACTATGAACCCAAGAAGGAAACTCAGGTGCAGCTAATCAAGCATTTCTGCAAAGCCCAGATGGGTGCAGATGTCATGTACTCTCCTGCTCTGCGCAGTCCACCTCTGTCGCCCCGTCTGCCTGCCAGAAAGCAACCTGCCCAGAAGACTGTGGCTGGTG